CTGGGTCTGTCTCCTCTGTCTTTCACCTGATGCCAAAAACCCAACACCACTTGTCTCTACCAGCATACCTCTTAGGTCAGAAATTTCACCCCGCTCCCTTCTCCTGAAAAGGGTCTCCCTTCTGCTCTGCCTCTCCCAGGACCCAGCTGCTCCCATGGCTAGTGGATGTGTGAACCCCAGAGTTCTGGGGACAGGTCATGGCCAAGCCTGCTGAGTCCCCAGCCCAACAGCTACCATACTCCTCTCTACTCTCATTCAGTACTGCCCTCAGTTTCTCATCTGGAAAGTGAGAGGGTGGGACCCAGGAATGGCAAAACATCTGGACTCTGGCTTTGGATATATGGGCTCCACTCCAGACTTGGGCAATTCAGAGCACAACGGAGAGCTAGGAGTCACCCCAAAAGGAGCAGTACCATAGTGGGTGGCCCTGACAAGTGCCCAAATGAGGTACCAGCAGCCAAGGAAGGTTTGTCTGGGGAAGAGGTCACTCTGAGCAGGAGCATTGCAGGAACCAAGGGGTGAGCAGTGGAAGCAGGTGTCTAGGCTGTTGGCCTCCCTGAGGGCTACTTGTGTTTCTAGAGCGGGTATACAGACAAAACATTGAGCATCTGGAGAAGGTACGGGGCGAGTGGGAGCAGGAGCATCAAACCACCTGTGAGGTGAGTTACCCTGGGCCTCAGTTTCCCCAGCTACAAAATAGGAAAGACATTCATCCCTGCTCCACCCACTTCATGGGGGAAATAAGGCAGTGGGGTGGGGGGAAAGCCTTATTCCTTCATTCATTCACTCATGCATTCACTCTCCAGTCCCCTCCTGGGTCCCTAACCCAGGGAGCTCACTGCCTAGCTTTATGTACTGGCTCCCTTTGTTTCAGGCAGGCATCCTTCATCCCTTTTTGTTGAAGCCAAAACTGAGACTCAGACCCATAGCTTCCTTAGGCCCCTCAGGACTGCTCCTCGCATGACACCTTCCTGGGGCCTTTCCAGTGTGCAGTAGGGCTTGGAAAGAGGGTGGAGGCAGGAACTCCACAAGGAACACAACCTCCCTATCAAAAGCCTGAGGTGCGGGCACAGATGTGGGGGTGGAGACCCCCAGCAAGGGATTTTTGGTTAAACTTGGCTTTCAGCAGAGGGAGTCTGGCTTGTCATCCCCAGCTGAGCTGTTGAGTGGGGTGCAGCCTGGCCTGGCTCTGCAGCTCCCTTCTCACTTTTCATCTCCCTTCCTCCAGGCCTTCCAGCTTCAAGAGTTTGACAGGCTGACCATCCTCCGAAATGCCCTATGGGTGCACTGCAACCAGCTCTCCATGCAGTGCGTCAAGGATGATGAGGTCAGGGGGCCAAGGATGGGGAGGGAACAGAGTGATTTGATAGGGGAGGGGCATAAAGAAAGGGCAACTTCTGGGCAACAGTATGCCCAGGTCCCTCCGGGTCTGTCAGCAAACACCTTAGGTTTCAATCTGTGCCCCTAGGACCCCAAGGACAGGGAAGTCAGTATTGTCCAGGGTTATGGCCTCACTGCCTGGAAGACTGTGCTTCTGTGGTTACCCTGGCATCTGCCTTCTTTCCTCACCCCTAGTCCAAGGTCTTGACTCTACTCTGAGTATGTGCTCTTTCTGCCCTTGTTAAGAAGAGAGGTGAAAAGAGGTCTGCAGAAAGGCTGGAGGATGCTGGGCTGCTCTGCTCTAGGTTTCCCCTTTGTAGGAACTGAGGTCCAGTCCCTTTTCTGTCCCCCAGGCATCTCTTGGGTATTCTGGTTCCCTTATTAGCTAGATGAAGATGCTGGGTGATTGGGGTGGATCCTACCCAGCAGAAAGGGGCCAATACCTCTCTACCAGGGTCTCTGACCACTGTTAATATAGCTCCAGAGCCATGAGCTCTCTTGAGGCAGCTCTGACTCCCTGATGCTCACTGCTGCTCTTTACCTGATCTCTCCTCCATAAGCTGTAGGGTTTTGGGTCCCTCCCTCCAACCAAATGACTTGAACCCACCTGAGTGGCCTCCTGTGGCAGAGGAAGAAAGGTGGGCTTTTATCCTGCCATACTGGAATAAAGCTCGGCTGCACTGAATTCTTGCTCTGTGATATTGGGCAAGTCATTTTCCTTCTCTGAGTTTCCTCATCTCTAAAATGGAGGAAATAATATCTACCATAGAGGACAGAAGTGAGTTAAGTCCCTTGCATAGGGTCTTGTGCCTAGGAGGTGCTCAGGAACCAGGAGATGCTATCAGCCAGGGCTCTGACCCCTTAGGAAGGCCTGGGACAGATACACCCCAAGACCCCTCTGAATACAGGCACTGAGCTGTGCCTGTGAGGTGGTGGAAGCCCCTGGCCAGAGTTCAGAGTCATAGAAAAAGAGGGCTGTGATGAGGATGAACATTGAGGTGAAGCCTGGCCCCTCAGCCTCTGTTCTTTCCCACCTCCAGCTCTACGAGGAGGTTCGGGTGACGCTGGAAGGCTGCAGTGTGGAAGCCGACATCAACAGCTTCATCCAGGCTAAGAGTACAGGCACTGAGCCCCCAGGTAAAGCCCAGACCCATAGGCAGTATGGCCTCTGGGTCCCGGCCTGCCTGTCCCTAGGAAGCCTTGCCCAAATTCTCTGAGCCTCAACTGCCAAGACAGGACTTGGGTGGTTCATAGATCCCTTCTGGGTGGAGATGTGGCCAGATCTCAGGGAGGGGTCAAGGATAGTACGGTCCCCTAAGGCAGAGGATGAGCAGAGCTTAATAACACTATAATATTCAGAAAGGGAGTGAATGTGGAGAGCCTCTTCAGAGCCCCTACCCCAGCCAGTTTGGTTCCACTAAATTATGAGTCCAGAATACTCATTCTTGGTCGTGCCCACAGTGGGGTCTCTCATGGAAGTGAGAGAGGCCTGTTCCTCAAATATAAGGGCAGGCCAGGGCCAAGGATGGGAAAGTGGGGCCCCAGTCTGGTTTTCTAGATGGGGACAGGTTGGTGTATCAGGTGGCAGAGGTTTTTTCTGCCCTGCCCTCGGCCACCCTGGACCTCACAGCTTACTACCTATAGCTCCAGTACCCTACCAGAACTACTATGATCGGGAAGTCACCATATCATCTGGCAGCCCTGGCATACAACCTTCCTGTGGCATGATAAAAAGGTGAGACACCTACTTTGATGCTAAGGTGGGGGATATAAAGGGGAAGGGGGGAGAAGCAGGTCCAGACTCTTCTCCTGCACCTGGCTGTTTCACGTGTATTTATTAACCATCTACTATGTGCCTGATGCAGTGTACAAGTGCTGAGTACTCTCTGGGAACAAGACAGCTTCAACCTGACTTCATGACACCCTCACCCCAAGGGGGCTCAGGCATTAAACAAATAATCACATCCAACTTATTCATTAGTGAATGCTGAGAGTTCCAGAGAGTCCCAGCATACACCTTAGGCTTCAACCTCTGGGCTGACTTCCTTTTCTCTGGTGGGGGACCCTGCTGCTAGTTTGGGTTGGTGTCTTGGACTGTCAGGCTGCAGTGAAGACACTCTCCCACTGGTACAGGATCAGGGCATAGGAGCAGGCCTCATAGCCAGTACTTTTGGAAAATTCTCCAGGCTCTTCAGGAGCCCTTCCCTGGCCTAGCTGTGATAAGATCCTAGTGCCATGTCTCAGTGTATCACTTGCACAAGTCACTCTCCTTCTTTAGGTCTAGGGCCCATGAGTGTTGGGATCAGACTCAGAACCAAAGGATCCTGTTGCTTTAGGCCTTGGATGACAGGCAACTGTAGCACCTTAGCCTGCTCAGAGAGCACCCCCAGCAGCCAGATTCTGGAGGGGCCCATATACCCTGTCTATGGGCATCTAGGAGCATCTGTGGGTTTTACATGGTACCTGTACCCAACCCTCAGCCTGAGGCTGTCATGACCTCCTCTCTCCAGCCAACCTTGTGCAGAGACGGCCCTGCCTTTGGGAAGTAGACAAGGGAA